GCAGGCAGCAGGAAAGGATCCGCAGTACCTGCAGGCCAGGGAGAGCCTTTCATCAGAGCCCCCCAGACACTTTGACACATCTTTAAATAACATTTAAACGGCTTTACTTTCTGTGTAGACAGTCTATTTAAGGTAAAAGGTCTTCCCTCTGCAGATGGTGAAGGAGCCGCGATCGATAGCTCTGGCAGCAGTTCCTGAATGTCAGGGAGACGGTTGTATTCAGGTGGGGCTGCAGCCGGTGGTCCAGGCGCTTCAGCTCTCAGGCAGAAGGATGGTCTTCTGGCTCCTCATGATGCAAGGAGCTGGGTTTCTTAGTTCCAGCCTTTCCACAGACCAACTGCATGGCTTTGGGCAAGTCCACTGAGGTCCAATTTTTGGTCAAATTAGGCAAGATAAGTCCTTGCAAGTGCCACAATTGCCTGAACAAAGTGGGCCACTGAGTACACAAACAGGCCTCATCCATCACTGCAGGGGCAGTTCCCCCTTACTCCCCTCCTGCCCCTCTCTGCAGCTGACAATATGACCCAACAGCTTTTCATCTTTAAAATAATGCTCTTAACTAATTTATCTGTACTGATGCTCTTGCTAGTACTATTATTTGTAATACCTCCGCGCATCCCTAGGGAAGGGCACTGGTCTTAATTAACAGCTGTGAAACTGCCTGAGCACCATGCCTGGAAATGACAGAGGAGGTTACTGTCATATCAAGATTTTTTTTAAACTTTTTTAAAATTTATTTGTAGACCCCTTTCTTTTTTCCCAGCAGATACACAAGCCTCCATCTCCTCCGCTGAAAGCCACAGCAGGCTTGCTTTTCAGCCTCACCTTTTGTAGCAGAGACCGCCTGGGCCCCCCTGCCTCGAGCATCAGCTACCGCCAGGCTGATTGAAGTTGCATGCCCCCGTCCAAACTTTGGGGTGCCAGAAGTTGTCATGTGTTTTGTCAGCGTGTGTCTGCACACAGGACTCGCCAGTGTGCGCATCTGCGCGCGCGCGCACACACACACACACACTGGGTATACAAATGTGTCCCAACAATAGTTTAAAGCCCCCAGTGATTTGCAGAACCTCACAAATTGCCTTCTTCCTCCTCTGTGAAGCAATTTAAGCTTGCCTTTGCATGGGGTTTATATGAACAGTCACAGTAATGAGCAAACTGAAAGCACACATCTTCTGTCCATTTCTGTAAATAGATCAGAAGTCCTCGTTTCTATCTACTTGCTAATTGAGAAATTAGACACAAATCAAATGTAAACCCTCTGATTTGCAGGCAACAGCAGTAAACTGTGAATAACATTCCTGAGCAGCCGCACTGCTCCTTCAGAGAGCGGGTCCTTGCAGAGCAATACAGGCAGACAGAGATATCCCAGCTAGCGCTGAATGAACTAACCTGCTAGTGCTGAAGCACAACCAGTCTGGCCTCATTAGTGTGAGGCTGTCCCTGAACTAATTAGCTCTCCTAGAAAGCCACGTATGTTATTAGGCTGGGTGAAGTTCCACAGTGCTACAGGTAGATCGCTTGGGCACTGGCATCTGCGTGGATGACGCTGTGAAGGCATACCCGTGGCAAGCATGCCATGGACATTTAACAGCTCCCCGGCGCAGTGCGACCTTAGGCTCACCTGCCAGGGAGGGAATAAACTAACTGCTTCCTTTCTCCATGCAAAGGAGTAGGAGCTTTGATCTGGCTGGTAACTGCACTTCAGCTGAGAACCCGTGCCGGTTCTCTCTGGTCTTCTCCGAGGAGGCAGCTCTGCCCCTGGAGAGGACTGTTTCCCCCCGCCCTCACACACTCCCTGGCTGCGCCCTGGGGAAGAGCACGGCATGGAAGCCCTCATTCCCCGTGTGCAGTCAGGTGCCTGTGCCTGCAGAGCCAGAACAGTTTTGCAGTTCCAGCCAGCGTATCCTTCCAACAAGCTGAGGCCCCTGATTCTGCTTGCTGCTTGCTGTCGAATCTTTTCAGCCAAATCTCCAAAGTCTTGGCTGAGCTGTGCTCCAAAGCCAGCCAGATTTCTGATGCTTAGCAAAAATATTCATTAACGACTTAATCTGCACACACACAGGGGATGCTTTTAGTGTATTTGTTCTAGGTCCGTGAAACAGTGATCTGGCCACTGCTTTAAACTCTGCCTTGATCTGTGATCTCAGAGATGAAGAATTCAGAAAAATGCTGTTAGGGGAGACAGCCCAAAGTATCCCTTGTGCTCACACCACAAAGCACATAACCACCGACACACACCACTCGTCCGAAAAAGCACATGTGTTGCAAAATGCACTTCGCATCAGATAATTCATGACAAATACTCTCCTGAAAGCCCTCAATTGCACGAGGCGTGCTGTCCCCTCCTATCCCACCGGAGAAACCCAGCGTGCACAGACTACTCAGGCTGTGCAGCAGGGGTTGGGGACTGGGAGGCGGGGAGCAGGGGGGCACTAGGCAGGGAATGATCAGTGATTTTCCTCTAAATCATTTCATCAGTGCTGAAGGAAGCAGAAAGGATAGATGTAGTCTAGTCCCTCAAGGTGGGGGACAGGATGCCTGCTTCAGCTCCCAGCTCTCTTGAGGATGGGTTTACTGGGGGGACATGAGATTCCCTTTTAGAGAGTCAAAAGGGAGAACTTTGCCCTGAAATTGAGAAATTCAGGGATTTCTTCAGGATTTGACTGCATTTTCTCAAATGTGTTCCCTCCAAGGCTCAGCTGCTTCAAAATTCAGGCAGCATTGTTTGGTGGGGGTTGGCAGAAGTCATATGGCATAGTTTCTGCCTTGCAGTCTGTGAGCCTTGCTGCTAAGCAGGTCTTTGGAGGAAGCCAAGAAAACCTGCTAAACCTGTGTTCCAGGACTGGAGGAGTGGGTGAGCTTCAAGGTTACCTTTTGCAAATTAAACTGAAGTATTTTCAGGAAATGAAATGTGCTGGAACTCTGAGCAGAGGTGGGGGAAGCCTGCTCACAAAACCAGATGCATTTCCTTGAGAGTTGTTTGTCAGCTCTGTGTGATTTGTACATGCAGCCAGGTAAAACCCCCCCGCCATGCGCTTCGTGCTCACAAGACACAGTGTCCCAGAGTCTGAATTCGTACAGGAAAACCCTATTGACCTGGATAGATGTGTGACTATCTCTCTAAATGGAAGGCCAGAGGAAAGGTTGTTTCCTGGGACCAAAGGCAAGGTATTGAGATAAATTCCCTCTAGTCCTAGATTCACAAAGCCAACACATCTCCCCACGTTTGCCTTGGCCTGCGCCAGCACTAAAGCAGGCAAACACAGCAGCTGACATTTTGTAGAAGAGCACCCCCCTCCCCTCAGCTGGCTAAACACGCACGAGGAGGTCTGCGTTTGAACTGCTGGAGCTGCTTGCAAGCAGCCGCTGCCAGTAAAAGTCAGGCAGCACTTTCACTTCTTCCTTGCTGGGGTTTTGAAGTCCTGGTGATTCCCAGCCCCAAGGCTGCTGTTCAGGGGGAGCAGGAAGAGGTTAATACAGGGAGGGAGGAGTTGAGGGCATAGGGCAGATAGCAACGTAGTGATTTTCTGCAAAATTATCGCCTTGGTGCTGTGGAAGCAGAGGCACGAGATGTTTTGGGAGGGAAGGTGTCAGGGGACTGTAATCCGTCCATTAGCCCAACTCAGGATAAGTATTACACGATGCAGAAAAGGATGCCTTAATGTGCAAACCCCTGCAACTTTGTGGCAATGTCCCATCTTCTGTGGCCTTTGGTATACCCCACCCTGCTTCTCAGTTTCCTTGCCAGTGGAATCAGGCTAATCTTCCCCTTCTATCACCAGGGACCTAGGTGGCTTTGTTAAGAGGAAGCTCTGAGAGCATCCTCCATGCACAAAGCAAGAGAAGGAGCGTACTGGAAACAGGGAGAGCAAATATGTGGGGTCTGAAAGCATTTCCTGGGACATTAATGCGTTTGCTTCCTCTCCTCCCCATCCGCCCTGATCCGTCCCAGGATCAAATGCTCTCTCCAAACAGTGCAGGCAAAGCAATACTGGCATTGCATTCAGATTGGTGTGCCTTCCTCCGCTGAAGAGCTGAGCTACCAGCTCTCTAAAAAAGCAGCTGACACCTCCTCACGTCTGCTGTCTGGGAGTGGGGCTGGGCCAGCCTCTCCAGACACCAGTCGTTAAGAATAGTTCTTGCCACTGCTGAAGGGCACCTGCCATTGGGCATCTTTGCAGGTTGCAAGCAGTGTGAGCCATTCCCAAAATACCAGTGGGACAGCTGCTCCTTAACCCCTTTTTCTGATGGCTTCTGGTCCACGGGCCTCTGAGATTAGCAGCTCTTGCAGACAAGCCAAATCTCCTGAGGGTCCTGCAGCGGCTGGAGGAGTGGATCTACAATGAAAAGAGTTGGCACAGCAGAGAGGATGAGTCTCAACCCTCCCTTGGCTTGCATGGAAAAAGAGAGTGGGATGGGAGTGTGGGAAGGGAAGGGAAGGGAAGGGAAGGGAAGGGAAGGGAAGGGAAGGGAAGGGAAGGGAAAAGGGAAGGGAAGGGAAGGGAAGGGAAGGGAAGGGAAGGGAAGGGAAGGGAAGGGAAGGGAAGGGAAGGGAAGGGAAGGGAAGGGAAGGGAAGGGAAGGGAAGGGAAGGGAAGGGAAGGGAAGGGAAGGGAAGGGAAGGGAAGGGAAGGGAAGGGAAGGGAAGGGAAGGGAAGGGAAGGGAAGGGAAGGGAAGGGAAGGGAAGGGAAGGGAAGGGAAGGGAAGGGAAGGGAAGGGAAGGGAAGGGAAGGGAAGGGAAGGGAAGGGAAGGGAAGGGAAGGGAAGGGAAGGGAAAGGAAAGAATGAAGGAGGTACTAAGATGAAAAGCTGCCAGCATTGGGTGGTTAGATGCAGAATGCTGCGAGGGCTGGTTGGTAAAAGAAATGTAAGCTTATAATGCAGCCAGGAGACGTGAAATCATGTGTAAAGATCCCAGCTGTCCTCCGCAACGCCATCATTCGTATCCTGCTCAGCCCGGATGTGACCATCAGGTGGGTGTCTGAGTCCTGTTAACTTCTTCCAGGCCATGGCAACATTGAGCCTCACAAACTCTGGTCCAAAATGGCTACATTCAGTGCGGCCTGTTCTTTAGTGGGAAAATACTCAAAGCCATTGAACTTTCCGATTGCTTACTACCCCTCCAACCTTGCATAAGTGGGGGCACATACCTACCCCATCTATGGTGGCTGGGGATCTGAGGTGAGGGAGTCTGTTGGCCTGGGCCTTTCTCATCTTCTCCATCTGTATTGCTAAGGCCTTTCTTCCCAAAAAGGGACTGCAGTCATTATGTGAATGTGAATTTTATGCTTGCTGGGGTGCCCCCAGCAGCTCCTCAGCCACTGTCAGCCATATGTAGGCAGCAGGCAATGCAAGGAGAAGAGAGCTCTGTTTCTTGACACCATATGTCTGCCCAGATACTTTGGGGAACTTGTGTGGGTGCAAATAAGAAACTGGGGACATCCTGGTATTTCCAAAGAGGTGATGTCGGATGAGGACAGACACCCTTCTGGGATAACACTGTCCTGCTGGACTGAAACAAGGCGTTGATAAATGGTGCATTTTGGTCCCCCTCCTCTGGCAGACACTATTATGTCTAACGCTAACCTGTAACAGCTGATAACAGCCACAAACCCTGCTGATGTTGCTTTCCTAAAAATTCATGGGATACCAGATGATTTCCATACACAGCAGGGGGCCTGAGGCTGTGTCTGCACTAACCTCTTCCCCTAACAGCTCCCACCGCTGCCACTACCGGTTCGAGTGCAGGAGCAAGGGGAACGAGCTGCTGATGGTCGTGGGGCCTTCCAATATCTGTGCCTGAAATGCCAACTGCTTGCCTCAGCTAGAGCACCCACTGTGGAAGCTGAATGGTGGCAGCTGGGTAAGGAGCAGAGCAGTACACGCGCGTGCGCACACACACACACACACACTGGATTTTATAGGCGTTCCTAGGTGACTAGGGGACTCTGCATAAACCCCTTTAGAAGCTAAGGTCCTAAATCGCATAGGAACATCAAAATGGGTCCAGCCGACAGTTCCCCCGCCGCGCTCTGTGCGCCGCCGTGTCTAAGCCCCAGAGAAGGGGGGTGCGCTCAGAAAGCAATCTGCAAAGGGCCCGCAGCGAACAACTGGCAGAAGTGCAGCTGCGGCTTGGTATGAATTTCTGGGGAAATTTTTGTAGAGGGAATGCTGATGAGTAATAAACAAGGTGCTGCCTGATTCTTGTTTGGAGGAACGAGGGGAGGGAGCGAGGGGCTGAGAGAAAGACGCACAAGGAAGAAGAGAAGGAGAAAGAAATGACCTTGGTGAGCTTTCTTGGCTGCTGTCCAGGTCACACTCTGATGCCAGAAAAAGCTCTGAGTCCCTTTTGGCTGGAAGTGCGCTGCCTGCGTTAGGTGAATCACATACACATTTCTGGAACATTACATGTTCACAGTTGCAAAGCTAACAGTAATTAGAAAAACTACAAGACCAAGGCAGGGGGAAAAAAATGAGTCACACATGGAAGTGGTGGTATTGTACTGCAGGAAAATCAGCTTTGCAGATTTCCAAAGGTAAACGTACATCAGGCTCCTCCACTGCCAGAAAGGGCTCTTTTGCGACTGCCTGCAGCCTGCCGGGCTGTCAGCGTCACAGGGAGAACAGCAGCTTTGGAGTAAGACAGGATACATTAAAACTTGTCCACACAGGGAGGCTAAATTGCATTCAGGTAGGGCGTGAAATTCGTGTGGAATGACTCCGGCCAGTGAATAGTTGTGCAGTCAGCTCTCAGTGGGGATGTTCTTATTCCACACAGTGGAATTCCATGAAGCGTAATCCACTTCCACCCATGAATTTAGCCATTTCAAAGTATGCTATTCTCATGCCAGAGTAAGAGCAGCCGTGCCAGGAGTTGATCACAAAGAGTTATTCCAGAATAACTTCCTGAACGAGCAAGTCCATAGAGTCCAGAGGGAGGCAGCTGTTGCCACCTAGATGATGTGCAGCTCAGGAGCCTTTCTCTGTCCTCCAGCACATACCAACAGTGAATGGTGACCTGCTATGGCTCGCTCACTTCAACACTGGGTCTGGATGCTGCTCATTTCTGAAAAGAAGAAAGAGTCCCATACCAACTCCCTATGTTCAGGCAAGTTTCATAAATCATGCGGACAGTCTTGTTTCAGATGAATGGATGGATAGAGCTTTCATCCCTTTCTTTGCATGACCCTTATGCTGCTATTCATAAACAGCACAAAGGGTGTTTTAACCTGGGAGCAAACCAGGTTCTCGTTTGTTTAGTTTGCTCTCCTTCTGAGTCATCCCATTTGGCACATGCAAAATCAGTCTAAGCAGCCTGCAGAATCTCCTACCGGGGCTGTGCTCTCCGTAACAGAGCACCTCCGGCATGACACATCACCAAGCCATATGGAAGAGCATTGCATTGCAAGGCAGCATACGTCATCACACCTTCAGGTGACACTGTGGACAGAAGAGCCAGGCCTCAAGAGTGCTGCGTGGCCACGCATTGCAACACAGCGGCGTTGCTTCCAAGATGTATGAGTTCATGCCAGTCCTAGGTATAAGGCTCTTATCTTCAGGTTAAATTACTAACCAGCTGAACGATGCTGTGGCAGGCTCTCTGCCTTCAGTGGAGACTCCGTTCAGAGAAATCCAAAGAGTGGAGAAAGCATCAAACAATGAAGTGATGCTGCGGACAAACTGTGCGGAGCGTGCAATCTTCCTGCAATATTCCGAGACAGAT